GGCATGGTGGTTAAGGTGCTGGAATTCCCACATAGCTGACCATGGTTTGAGTCCCAGACCTGGTGGCTTTCTCTCTCTCTCTCTCTCTTTTTCTCTCTGTCTTTCTCTGGCAAAACTCATGTGAAAAAAAAAATTCTTATTTTTTTTGGAGAGATTTTCGCTATAGGGCGCGTGTGCTCGCCAGACAGAGAGAGACATAGAGACAGAAAGTGAGAAATCACCCCCCAGAGGGGATGGTCATGCCGCAATCCCTTCTCCTCCATTCTCCTCTCGGGATCTTGGGCATGCACGCACATGCACCCGGTGTGAGTTTTAAGCCACCGGGTCCGGGATGCGAACCGCGGTCGACTACGTGGGAGTTCAGCGACATAGCCATTACGCTAACTGCTAGTTCCCATAATAAAATAATTCTTAAAAAATTTTTTTAAAGAAAGTGAGAGCCTGAGGGGAGAAGACCTTGCTGCGTTGAGTTAGAAAGGGAGCCAGACCCTGATCTGGGTGCGATTTCAGGCCCCTTCCTGTCCTGGGGCCCTCTAGATGAACCCCTCTACTTGTCAGTGACCCTGGAGAGGGGGAGGCAGGCCTGAAGCTCCCCAGGGTGGTCAGAGTAGCCTTTTCTGGCCGAGGGGTCCTCTGAGTGTGCGAGACACTGTTTTCCCAGGGGTGCCAAGAATCTGGGGATGGGGAGGGGGCGGTAGACGCAGCCTCCCTGGGATTGGGATTCGGTATGGAGGGGGACAGTGCTGGGCCGGGTAGAGAGTGGACACGGAACACCGTTGCTTTCAGATTTCCCACTTTGGTTAAAGGCTAAGCCTGAGCCCAGGGGATGCAAACTAATTTCAGGATTAGTTTAAGCCAGAAATAATTGGGAAGGTAACACTTGCAAAAGAGAAAACCACGTCACACATTTCAAAGACAAATTGAAACAGTTTCTGGATTATCCAGGACCTTTCCTCCACCTGCCAGGGGCTGGGGCTTCTCAGCTTCTAGGGCCTGGCTGAGACCTCACCAGTCCTTGTGCTGGCCTGGGAGAGGGCAGGCGTGCGGGGGTCTGTCACTGTTTAGGAGAGACCAGCGTGGCTTAGAGGCGGTGGCATGACTGTCGTGTGCTTTGAGCAGGAGCACGCCTTGAGCTTCCAGAGACTCCTGGACGCCAGCACCTACAAGGAGGCCTACCGCAAGGACATGATCCGCTGGGGGGAGGACAAGCGCCGGGCCGACCCAGGCTTCTTCTGCAGGAAGGTCGTGGAGGGCGTCTCCCAGCCAGTCTGGGTAAGAGGGCTCCCGGCAGCATGAAGACACCCCGTTTCCCCGCTTCTCCTTTGTGTCCCCCTCTCTGTATGCCCACCGCCACCAGCCTGGTCCAGGTCCCCACCGTCTCTGTCCGGGCCAGGCGTAGGAGCCACCACACTGTCCTCAGCTTTGATTTGTGCCTTCTCAGTTCCATTCACTGCACAGTAGCCCAAGGGATCGTTTATGATTTATTTATTATTATTTTAGATGTTTGCCATAGGGTGCATGTGCTTGCCAGAAGAGAGAGAGGGAAAAAAAAGTGAGAAAGTAAGAAATCTCTCTGGAGAGGATGGCAACATGGCAACCCCTTCTCCTCCATTCTCCTCTCAGGATTTTGGGCATACATGCACATGCACCCAACATGATTTTCTTTTTCTTTTTAAAAAAGAATTATTTATTTTAATTTTGTTTATTCATTCATTTATTTTAATTGGACCAGAGAGAGACATAGAGAGAGTTAGGGAGAGAGAGAGAAAGTGAGAAAGCAAGCCACCAGGTCCGGGACATGAACCACAGTTGGCCATGTGGGAGTGTTCAGCGCCTTAACCACCATGCCACCTGCTGGTCCCGATTTTCTTTTTGTTATTTAGGGAGATTTTTGCTAGGGCACATGTACTTGCTGAAGAGACACAGAGAGAAAGTGAGAAATCACCTCCTGGAGAGGATGGCCACACTGCAGTCCCTTCTCCTCCATTCTCCTCTCAGGATTGTGGACATTCACACACATGTGCCCAACATGATTTTCAAGCTGCTGGGTCTGGGACTTGAACCGCACACTCGGCCATGTGAGATCCAGCTGCCTTAACCACCACACGACCTACTGGCTCATGATCTTCTACTTTTTTTTTTTTTTTGGAGAGATTTTCACTGTAGGGCGCGTGCGCTCGCCAGACAGACAGAGAGAGACATAGAGACAGAAAGCGAGAAATCACCCCCCAGGGGGGATGGTCACGCCGCAATCCCTTCTCCTCCATTCTCCTCTCGGGATCTTGGGCACGCACGCACACGCGCCCGGCGTGAGTTTTAAGCCACCGGATCCGGGACACGAACCGCGGTCGACTACGTGGGAGTCCAGTGACATAGCCATTACGCTAACTGCTGGTTCCCATGATCTTCTACTTTTTAAAGACATTTAAAATTTTTATTTAATTTGCCAAAAGATGTGTGTGCTTGCCAGGGACAGAGAGAGGGCGAGGGACAAAGTACCCGCTAATGGAGTGTGGTCACTCCACAACCTTTTCTCCTCCGTTTCTCCATTTTGTCAGGATTTTTGGACACACACACATCAGCGCCCATTGTGTTTTTCAAGCTGCCAAGTCTGGGATTCGAACCACACAGTCAGCCATGTGGGATCTGGCTCCCTTATTCACCAGGCCATAGGCCAGCCCCCAAGTCAGCTTTAATTAATCCATTAACCAATTGATTAAATTTGCTACAGGACTCTCCAGAGGGACATAGTGGGAGTGGAGTGAGAAAGCACCCCCCATGGGGAACGACCACACTCAGTCCCTCCTTCATTTTCTCAGGATTTCGGGCACACGTGCACATGTGTCTGGTGTGTTTCTCAAGCCGTCGGGTCTGGGACTGGAACCATGCAGTTAGCCACGTGGCATCCAGCTGTCTTTTTTTGAAAAAAATATTTATTTAACTTAATTTACTATTATTTATTATTTTTCAAGAATCATTTTCTTAATTTAACTTCATTTATTATTATTACTTTTTAAATTTGACCAGAGAGAGAGAGAGAAGGAGAGTGAGAAAGCAAACTGCCAGGTCTGGGACTTGAACTGCAATTGACCATGTGGGAATCGAGCGCCTTAACCACCATATCACCTGCCAGCCCCATTTATTATTTTTAAAATTTGCTATAGGGCATATATATACGCTCGCCAGAGAAACAGAGTGAGAGGAAAGCAAGCCACTGGGTTGGAAGCACCCTATGGGAGGTGCTTTCCCACTCCACCCCCACTGTGTCTCTCTCTGGAGAGTGCACGCACCCTATAGCAAATTAAATAAATAAGTGAGAAGTCACCTGGGGGCTGGCCCGTGGCCTGGGGAATAAGGGAGTCAGATCCCACATGGCTGACTGTGTGGTTCGAATCCCAGATTGGCAGTTTGAAAAACACAATGGGCACTTCCGTGTGTGAGTCCAAAAATCCCGACAGAATGGAGAAATGGCGGAGAAAGGGTTGCGGAGTGACCACACCCCGTGGGCGGGTCTTTGTCCCCTTCCCTGTCTCCGTGTGGGCATCCAGTGCCTTAACCACCACACCACCTGCCAGCTCCACAGGCTCCAGCTATCTAAGCCTCCATGCCACCTGCTGGCCCCAGAATTGCTGTTTTATTAAGGGTCCAGGGAAGGTCTCACTGACACAGTCACATTTGAGCAGGCCCTGAAGGAAATCGAGGAAGGAGCCAGATGGATATTTGCAGAAGGAACTTTCCAGAAAAAGGGAGCAGAGAGTGCAGAGGCCTGGCATGGGGACTGTGCCCGGTGTGTTTGATGAAGAGCCAGGGGTCGGAGTGGGTGAGAGTGAGTGACGGGAGGTCAGGTCAGATCACGCAGGGCCTTTGGCAGAGCCTGGAGGTTACCCTGAGTGAGCTGGGGAGTCATGGGGGCTTTGAGTGGAGGAAAGATGATCTGAATAGGAAGTAGAAGGTTCACCTCGGGGGCTGGGTAGTGGTGCGGTGTTAAAATGCAGTGTTCGGTGAAGCTGACTGAAATAGGGTGGTTCTGGGTTTTTGTCCGGAGCTCCCTGAGGTTACCAGGTGCGTGTGTGCGCATGACCTGGGGCTGGCTTGGGCCATGGACTGCGGCATTGAGACCCTGTTGGGGGTACTGCTCTCTCTCTTTTTTAAAAACTTTATTTATTATTATTTTTAAAAATTTACTACAGAGCACATGTGTGAGGGAGAGACATAGAGAAAGTGAGAACACCAGCCGCCAACTCTAGGACTTGAACCATGGTTAGCCATGTAGGAGTCCAGTGCCTTAACCACCACGCCACCTGCTGCTGCCCCCCTCTTTCTCTGTGTTTCTTGCTCATGGAAGAAAAAAATAAACTCGAACATAGACAGATAAAAGGCTCATTCATCCTGGGTACTGGGAGAAGGCTGGAGAAGCAGCGGAGAGGCCAAAGAGAGGCCTTTCTATAACACGGGCAGGATGACAGGGTCGACAGGGTGATTAGGGGTGTGAGGACAAGAGATTTTGTTCTGAGTAGCTGGACAAATAAGAGTTGTGGTCGTTTTCTGAGATAGGGACAGTGTGGGGGAACAGGATCAGAGAGAACATCGGGAAGTCTGGCTGGGACCACCGCTAGGGTCATCCACCTTTGCTTCCCAGCCTGGTGGGAGGCTGACAGGTCAGAGAGCAGACCCTGTGAACTTCACCCGCGTGATTCACATAGTATGGTGGCGCTGGCCGTGTTGCAGTTGTGACACTCGTTGATCGGCACGACCTCCACTCTACCCTCAGCACCTAGCACAGCACCTGGCACACAGTAGGCATGCTCTGTCATACTGCCTTAGTATTGCACAGAGGGCCAGGCAGAGTGGTAATGCAACTGGACCCACAGGGGAGGGTCCTGGGTTCGTGTCCTGGGACTTCCCTGCGTGTGCAGGGTGTGTGTGCATGCCTGTGATCGTGGCTGGCTGAGACGGGGGGATCAGGATGTGGAGATCGCCCATTGGTGTGCCTGTCTTTCTCTCTCATGGAAGAAATAAATAGATACGTTCCAAAGAAAAGGGAAAACGGAACTAAATAAGTGGGTGGTGAACTTGTCAGCAATGTCTGACGCGTGCGCCATGGAGGAGCGCACGGCTGAGTGGAGAGGCTGGCGTGTTCGTGTTGAGGGGGTGGAGCTGCACCCCGTTCTGGTTCTATAGTCCCCCCTCCCCTTCACCTCCAGCTCCCTATCCCTATGGTCACCTGTCTGTGTCCCTCCCTTGCAGCTGGTGAGTGACACCCGGCGGATGTCGGACATCCAGTGGTTTCAGGAGGCCTACAGGGCCGTGGTGCAGACGGTTCGCGTGGTGGCCTCGGAGCAGAGCCGACAGCAGCGGGGCTGGGTGTTCACTCCAGGTGAGCTGCTTGTGACGTTCTTCCCCAGGGCTGGGCACACAGGGCAGCCACCGTGCAGAGCGTAGGCTCCCACCCCTGTGTGCCAGGTCCCCTGCTCTCTCCCTGCAGGCCCCGGGGAGACAGCAAGGGACTGCAAGGGGAACTGACTTTATGCAAACAGATATGTTCTCTCCCATGTGAGAAGTGGAACTGTAAGAATCAGTCCCTTCACTAGACTCAGAAGGGTAATTTACAATGAGTAAACTCAGGCAGTGGGAGAGGGGTGGACAGATCTGTCAGCACCTAGGGACACCAGGACAAGTCCAGGCTGAGTCAGGGGTCAGGTGCCATTAGAAAACAAAAAAAGGAAATGCTGAAAGCTCCTTATAACAGGTCAGCTAGCGGAAGGACCCGAGGGCACACCTGACTGTAGGCAGACAGAGCAGTAGTGAAGTCTGGACCAAGGCCCTTGGAACCTGTGAGGTGACTGACAGCAGCCACCTCGTGTGCGTCTTCAGTTCTTCCTGCTGCAACTCAGATCTCCATCCCGATGAGCATCATTATTTTATTTAACTTTATTTATTTTATTTGCTTATTTATTTTAATTTGGCCAGAGAGAGACAGAGAGAAAGAGAGAGATGGATAAAGAAAGTGAGAAAGCAAGCCACCAGGTCCGAGACTCGAACTGCGGTCGCCCATGTGGGAGTCCAGGGCCCTTAACCACCACGCCACCTGCCAGCCCCTCCATATGCCTTTAAGGCACAACATTCCAAGTTCATTACCAAATGCAGTGTTTCAACTCAAATGTTTGGTTTCTAGTGGAAACTTCTACCCTACAAGACAAGGGAGCAGTCCCAAGCCAGATCTGATTTCTCAGGTCGCTTCAGTGTTATTTATGTAATTATGTTCGTAATGTCCAATGAAGCACTGGGGAAATCTAGGAACCGGGGGCCTGAGGCCTAGGAGTGCCAGGTCTCCAGAGCAGGGAGTGGGATGGCCCAGAGTGTCTTTTGGGGCCCGGTCTCTCGGTCATTTGGCCTGGTCACCTTAGCTAAGCTGTCCTGTCAGGTCAATGGACTTCTCTGGAGGCCTGGCTGGGACCATCCCCAGGGTCATTCACCTTTGCTTCCCAGCCTGGGGGGGACTGATAGAGGTCAGAGAGCAGGCCCCATAGACCTCACTGCTGTTTGAGTCACATAGTCAGGGTGAGGGTGGGGAGGGCACTCTATCGGGAGCTTCGGTGTTCGAGCCCAGGGCCTGCGGGCGATTTAGAGGCACAGTTCAGGCTTCCTTCCACTTTCGGTCACTAGGACCGATGGGCGTGACCATGCCAACGGCTGCTCTCTCTGGGGCATTCACAGCATGTCACACTTCACCGTCACGGGGTCTAGGTGCTGTGGTCCCCATTCCATGGTCAGAGGAAGGGGCTGGCCCAGAAAGGTTAATTCTCTTTCCCGGATCACAAAGAGTGGGAGGAGGAGCAGGCCTCTCAACCCTCTGCCACTAGCCCTGGCACATGCTGTCCCCTGAGACGACTGGATCTGACACATTGAGGGATGGAAATGAATACTGCCAGCTTGCTGTAAAATGAAACGCGAATTGAAAGTTCAATGTTCTGTCGGCTTGTCTGTGGTTTTAATGCCTCCCCTTTTTTTTTTTTTTTTAAAGATGTTTGCCATAGGGTGTATGTACTCACTGGAGAGCGACAGAGAGAGGGAGAGAGAGAGGGAAAGTGAGAAATCACCCCCCGGAGGATGGCCACACCGCAATCCCTTCTCCATTCCCCTCTCAGGATTTTGGGCCTGCGTGCACACATACCTGGCATGATTTTTAAGCCACCAGGTCTGGGGCACAAATCACACTTGGCCATGTGGAAGTGCAGCTCTGTAACCACCACGCTACGTGCTGGTCCCACTACTTTACTTTTTATAAAAGTTATTCATTTACGAATAAGACAGACAGAGACAGACAGATACCTCTAACAAGGTCTTTACACCATGGGTCACCGCCAGTCTCAGCCAGCCCAGACGTGGGCCCGTGCGACCAGTACACACAGGATGGCCCCAGCATGCAAACCCAGCACCCATGCGGTCCAGTCGTGTTACTGCGATGCCACCATTCGGTCCCTGAGTGGAGTTTAATACCCCAGTCAGTGATCTGTAGTCAGGGTTTAGTGAAGGGTTAAGTTAGCAAGGACCATGGGGGGTGCTCCAGTGCCTTGGGCTGCTGGACCTGCCGCTGCAATGTTTTAGGGGGTGGGGTGCCTTCTGGGGTGGGCAGTGCTTGGCTCGGGGTGCGGACGTGAGGCCAGGGAGGGCCCGGTCCACTCGGGGCCAGCAGGCTTGGCAGCCTGGTGTGCGTCCGCAGGGCTGACCCCAACCTTGCCGTGCCTCCTATGCAGGGGTGGACGATGCCGAGTCAGAATGCGGCCTGGACGACTTTGGGGACTTTGACTGGGTCATCGAGAACCATGGAGATGAGCAGCGCCTGGAGCAGCAGTTGGAGAACCTGCTAGAATTTATCCGCTCCAGACTTTAGTCCTCCGGTTCCAGCAGTGGGCTGAGGCCTGGGGCTGGGGCTATGGAATTGGGGACCCTGATCCTGGGTGAGGTGCAGACTGGAACCTCGTTTTCTCTAGAGGAGGAGACCCGAAGGGCCAGGGAGCGTGGACTGACTGCTTGCCCAGAAGCACCCCAGCTCCACGGCGCCGGACACATCGTCTTGCCCTGGCTGGGTGCTCAGCCCTGCCCTGGGCAAGCCCGGGGCTCTGTGTGAGTGCTAATAAACCTCCTTGGAGCTGAGGTCAGCTGAGTGTCCTATTTCCCCAGAGCCCTGCTGTGTGGGGCTCACCTGGGCCTGGGCATCCTGGTGGCTGTGGGTCCCTGCACCACCTCCCACCTGGGCTGGCCTGGCTCTGGAGCTGACCTATACCTGCACCTCACAGCCAGCAGGGGGCCTGGGGGCTGAGGGGCCGCCTTCTGGGACAGCCCCAAGGAAAGCTGACGAGTCACTGCAGGTGCTCCAGCAGGCGCCCTTGTGGCTTGTACAGACCTTCCCGGTTTCCAGCTTCCTTCTGTCGTCTTCACGGCCTGGGAAATATGTAAGGGAGTACCTTGTCTGCAGTAGCAGAGGCCAGGGGCCCAGAGAACAGAACCGCGAGCCCGGGCCAGCGTTGGTAAGGACCAGGCTCCGCTGGGCGGGGGAACTCGGAGAGCAGACGACGAGCCAGGGCCAGTGCTGGTAAGGACCAGGCTCGGCTGGATGTGGCTGCCTGCTCCTGCTCATCCCAGGAGGTCTGGTACCAGGTCCTGGCTCCTTGCCACGCTTAGGCCCAGCCCATCTCTGGCCCTGGCTTTGTTCTCCTGCAAATTCTGTCATTCTCACAGATAAGGAGACAACCAAAGAAAGGACAGCTTCAATGTGGCCCAAACTGAGCCTTGCACGTCCCTACCCACCCCTGCACATCCCCTGCTGCTGGCTTCTGTGCGGCCTACCCCGTCATTCCTCTGGGAGGCTGACTGGAAGGGGAGCTCCCTGCTGGCAGGTGTATCTCTTTGCTAGGTGTCAGGCATCTGGGGACACAGAGAGGACCAGGTCCCAGGGCTGTTCCTCAAAGAACTCTCAGCCTAGAGGAGAGACAAATATCTCTGACAGGTGACAAGGGACCCAAAGACAATGCCAGAGAGACCTGGAGGCCTCAAGGGCAGGAGGCAAGGACTCTGTGGTGCTCCAGGTGGGCACTGACCCCTTCTCTGAGGTCCACGCTCCAGGCCTGATGTGCCCAGGTGGGCACTGACCCCTTCTCTGAGGTCCTGCCACCACTGCTCAGAAATAACCCTCTGCAGCCAGAGCAGATACTTGGGGACAATCCAGTCTTGGAAATGTCCCTAAGTCACTGGGGAATGGTTGATACAGGAGGTAAAATCTTTGGTCCTGAAAGCTGGAACAAGTGTACAGCATTCTGAGGGAGGTGGGATAGAGCCTGCCATGTTCAGAGAGTTCCTGGGACTCGAGCCCCACACCTTCCCATGTGGATCCAGTTGCATTACTACTATTTGGCTCACACTCTAGTGTTTTTGGATGGGAAACAAAGTTTCTTTTTTTAAAAGAATAATTTTATGTCTTATTCTTTTTAAAATTTGCTATAGGACATGTGCTCACTTGAGAGAGAGAGAGAGAGAGAAAGCCATCAGTTCCCGGACTCCAACCATGTTTGACCATGTGGAAGTCTAGCACCTTAACCACCAGACCACCTGCTGGCCCTGGGAAGCAGAGTTCTCTTACCAAACGTGTCTGAGCAGAGCCCCTTATGAGCCCCGTCGGGGGCAATGAGTGGGATGTGGTTTCTGGCCTCAGGAGCTCTTAGGACATCAGGCAGCCTGGTGTCCACGTGTAGTTCCGACGTGCGGCAGGGAGGCTGAGGGACAGCTGCTTGTGGAGGGGTGGGGCACAGGGAGCAGGGTGACCTCTCCTATGAGTGGGTGGCACTTAGGCCTGGGGCACAGCAGTGTTTGCACAGGCAGGGGCGGGCGGGTGAGGCTGTGGTCAACCCAGATTTGGAGCACAAGACTGAGGCCTGCTGAGGGTCTTAACCCATAGGCCATGTGGGGATGGAGGTGCCATGCCAGGGAAGCTTCCAGACAGCCGGGGCAGAATGTTCCTGAACAGAAGGCCTCCGATGTCTGGCTCAGGAGCCTGAAGGTGGGACATGGACGGTTTTTAGAGGTGTGGGGAGAACACAGTTGAACCAGGCAGGACTCAGAGCCCGGGGGGGCTGCTGAGGGTCTTCTGAGAGACCCCGAGCAGGAGATGACAAATGCTGAAAGCGGGCAGGGTCGCTGGGGAGCTGGGTGGCCGTGGCTTCGCCCTCATTTCTGACTCACCCCACTTGAGACTGCGTACGTTCCCGTCAGCCAAAGTAGCTCAACACCAGAAGGGGAAGGGGTGGCCCTGGAGATGGCTCAGAACCTCCTGCGGGACCACGATAACCGTGTGCTCGCCAACTGTAAGAGAGACGCCGTGTCTGTCCACAGCTGAGGTGGGCTCGACAGCACCAGCACCGCGGGCAAAGGAGGAGGCCAAGCCCCGCCTGGAGCCCTGAGCTGTGCTGCCTTCCCCCGGGGTGTCTTCAGTGTGAGGGGGTGCAATGGCTCCTCCCCCCTTTTGAGATTTTTGCCTTAGGGCACATACACTCACTGGAGAGAGAGAGAGAGAGAGAGAGAGAGAGAGAGAGAGAGAAAGCAAGAAATCGCCTTGGGCGGTGGGGGTGGCCACTCTGCAAAAACTCCGTTGCATTCCCACACACCTGCCTTGAAGCCACCAGGTCCAGGACTTGAACTGCGGTGGACCAGATGGGAGTCTAGTGCCTTAACCACTACGCCATGTTCCAGTCAGTCCCTTCCCTTTTTTTCTCTTAAATTTTTTTTTTTTTTTTAAGAGACCAGCCCTGTGGCACAGCAGTAATGCACTGCTCAAGAGAAGCTGGATCCTTCCTAGCAGACTTGGTTTGAGTCCCTGGCCTAGTCAGCTTGAAACTCCCTGGGCCCATGGGTGAGTGCCCAGCTCCCAGTGAACCAGCTGAGGTAGGAGATCAGTGCAGTGTGACGACCCCGTGAGAGGCTCCTCTCTCTCTCATGTGCACACACGTTCTTTCTTTTTTTTTTTGAGAGGTTTTCGCTATAGGGCGCGTGCGCTCGCCTGACAGAGAGAGACAGAGAGACAGAAAGCGAGAAATCACCCCCCAGGGGGGATGGTCACGCTGCAATCCCTTCTCCTCCATTCTCCTCTCGGGATCCTGGGCACGCACGCACATGCGCCCGGCGTGAGTTTTAAGCCACCAGGTCCGGGACGCGAACCGCGGTCAACTATGTGGGAGTCCAGCGACAGAGCCATTACGCTAACTGCTGGTCCCAACACACACATTCTTTCTGAATAAAGGAAAAAATTCTGAAAACAATGTTTTGAGAGACTATGAGAATATTTGATGTTTTGGTTAGGAAACAGAGTTCTCTCTTTGTTTTCATAACAATTTATTTAATCTTATTTATTATTATTATTATTATTTTACATTTTTCTACAGGATATGTGTGCTCACCAGAGAGAGAGAGAGAGAGAGAGAGAGAGAGAGAGAGAGACAAGGAAAGTGAGAAAACAAACCACTAGGTCTGGGACTTGAACCACCATCGGCCATGTGGGAGTCCAATGTCTTAACCATCAGGCCACCTGCTGGCCCCGACACAGCGTTCTCTTAACATTTTGCTATGTTGCCCAGGCTGGCCTTGCACCAGGCATCCTCCAGCCTCTCCAGAGCAGTGGTATTTGCGCGCTGAAATGACAGTCTCAGTGCCGGAGGCAGTCAGCCCTTGCTGTCACAGGGGAGGCGGTTCTACCTGCATGGTGTGAGCCTCGTGTGGTACCAGAGTAAGGTCAGCAGTGTTACTAAGTTTAAGCCAGGACGGAGGGATGATCAGACTTGGAGGTGGGGACTGGAGGTGTCATGTGCCCTGTGGGAGGAGGGCTGACCTGCTTTCCTGGTTCTGGGTATTCAGAGGAGTCACAGGATTTAACTTGGGAAGTCAAGAGGTCCATGCCTCACTTCCTGATGTTTCTTGAACTGAAGTTTCTTGAAAAAATATAAGACCCAGTAGCCAACCAGAGCTGGGTTTGAAGTTCCTCCATTCTTTTAAAAAATTTCAAAGTTCGTTTTTTTAATTTCTTTTTTTCTTTTTCTTTTTCTTTTTTTTGAGAGGTTTTTGCTATAGGGCACATGCGCTCGCCAGACAGACAGAGAGAGACAGAGAGACAGAAAGCGAAAAATCACCCCCCAGGGGAGATGGCTACGCCGCAATCCCTTCTCCATTCTCCTCTGGGGATCTTGGGCACACACGCACACGTGCCCAGCGTGAGTCCGGGACTCGAACCGCCGTCGACTACATGGGAGTCCAACGACATAGCCATTACACGAACTGCTGGTCCCATTTTTAAGTTTCTTCCATGAATGAGAGAGACAGACAGAGAGCCAGAGAGACAGATAGCATCCCCCATGGGTCCCCTGCCCCCAACCTCAGCTAGCCCAGACCATGGGCAGGTGTGTGCCTGGTGTAGTCAGGGAGGTCTCTGGACACAGACCTGCAGCCTTCCCATGTGGGTCAGTCATGCCGAGTTCTGAGTTTACCACTGCACTGCCATCCCCCACCCCTGTACTTTTTCGTGTTTTTAGAGAAATTTTTGCTACAGGACGTGTGCACTTGCTGGAGAGACAGAGAGACAGAGATATAAAGTGAGAAATCACCCCCCCCACCACCTCAGGGGGGATGGCCATGCCACAATCCCTTCTCCTCCACTCTCCTCGCTGGATCTTGGACATGAATGCATATACACCGGGCGTGAGTTTTAAGCCACTAGGTCCAGGACTCAAACCATGGTCGACTACATGGGAGTCCAGCAATGTAGCCATTATGCCATTTGCTGGTCCTAACCCCATACTTTTTTTCTTTTTAAATAATTATTTTATTTAACTTTATTTATTTATTTATTTTAATTTGACCAGATAGGGACAGAGTGGGGGGTGTGTGTGAGAAACTAAGTTACCAGGTCCAGGACTTGAATCGTGGTCGGCCATGTGGAAGTCCAGCGCCCTTAACCACCACGCCACATGCTGGCCCCGCCCCCATACTTTAAAAATAATTATTTATTTAATTTTATTTAGTCATTCATTTATTTTAATTTGACCAGAGAGAGACACAGAGAGAGAGAGGGAGGGAGAGAGAGGGAAAGTGAGAAAGCATGCTACCAGGTTTGGG